CTCAATTTTTGTGGAACGGTCTTGAAGACCGTTGGATGGGGTCACGATCCGACCGCTGAAAGCGCGCCAGCGGAGCGATCCGCGCCACCGATCGGGGACCGCACCTGCAAGCAACGGTCAAGCCTAGGGAAGCGTAAACCGCATCGGGAGGGTACGGTTTCCCTTAGTGCAAAATTACCCGACCGCCCCTGGAGGGTGCGGTCTGATGGGTATAAATACCCTCCCCCCCTTCCCCTCTCATTTCTTCACACCACAACCCATTCTTCCTTCTCTCTCTATAATTTATCTCTCTAAACCCTCCCCTCCCAAAAGCCTAGGAAATAGTGGTCTGTTGGTTGCGGCTAAGTTCGATCTGCCATCAGAAAACATTTCTTAGGTTTTTTCCTCAAAACCCGCCGAGCCGAGCCGAAGCTCTGTCCGAATTGCGCCAAAAAAATGGCCGATTGGTGGCAAGGAGAAGGAGTTTATGTTGATGAATTTCAAGCGGTATGTACTCATTATTCTGGTTTAATTTTTGTTGTTGTTATAAGTTTTTTAATTAATCTATGTACTAACCTCGTTGTTATTTTCTCGTAGGTTGGGGAGGACGTCGATATATACAACCAACGGTATTATCTCGAGCAAGGACCGTTGGATCCAACCGACTTGTACGACCAACCCAACCATCGGTCAAGGGATGTTTGGAACGATCACCCGGTACATACAATTCTTCACCATTTGTCCTTCTTTTATTTTGTTAATGTGCCTAGTGTAATATAAAATAAATTTATGTTTATTTTTTAATCGTGTTGGTGGTTTTCAATAATTTAATCGAATACATAGCGCCACTTACTTCGACTCTTTATAAAGAGATGCACGTCTAAAGAAATGGGGTTTTAAGCGATTATCATATCCTCCCATTACCTGGGAAAATCGGGTATTAAGAGATCCTCGGATCCCCCCTTTTTCTGTCAAAAAGACTGCGTTTCTAAGAAGATGTATACCTCTTCTAAGAGTCTAACGAGTGTTGCTTTGTATTCGATTAAATTATTTAAAACAACCAATACGATTAAATTATTTACCAAACAACCAATACGATTTATTTTTATGTGCACAAAAAGAATTTTATTAATTTCAAACATTTGAATATGTATGTTTCTATTTAAATTATTATTCATTAACAATGTTATTTATGTTAATTAATTTAGTATGTTTGTTTTACGATAATATGTATGTACCTCTTTAAATTATTATTCATTGACAATGTTATTATGTTAATTAATTTAGGACGTTTGTTTTATGATAATATGATAATATGAAATGTCTTTTTATGATAATAAACCCTTACTAATATATAATAATTAACGTGTAAATTTTTGCTAGGAGGCACAAACAATAATCCGCTACAGGGGTACCACCAATGTGCTCCCATTCCACCCAGCTATCTTGCCCTTTCTCAAAAGGGCACGGTTAGACTCGATTAGGCATTTTAACGGCATCCAAATTGATCGCCAACTCATCACCGCATTAGCCGAGAGATGGAGGAAGAAGACCCATTGTTTCAACTTTAGAGAAGGAGAGGCCACCATCACGCTAAAGGATGTCTCCATCCTAACCCATCTGCCCATCGACGGCAAACCGGTGTGCGTGAGTGATCATCCCCCCAAGGATCGTGACGGTATGATCGGTTGGCAGCATTTCATCCACAGTCATTTGGGAGTGAAAGTACCGGTGAAGGGTTGCGTTGATGCGACCGATCGCATGCCACCAATGAGGAAACACCAAGTCTCAATTACATGGTTGACGAAGTATTTTAGAGACCATTACGAGAGTCATCCCCTAACCGAGGAAAGTCCGGAGGATGAGAAGGAGAGATATGCTCGTGTCTATCTCATAAGCATGATCGGAGGAGTGTTCTTCTCCAAGAAATCAAGCAATCTCCTTAGTTGTGGATGACTTAGGATCATCTTCAGTAGTTGGGAGGAGATGGGGGAGTATAGTTGGGCATCCGCTTACCTAGCTATGATCTACAACAACTTGTGCAATGCGTCTCTAAAAGCTGTGAGGGAGGTCAGCAGCGCAATGTTCATCGTCCAATTTTGGGCTTGGAAGCATATTCCATGGATTGCACCGGTCCATGCGTCTTATAGTTAATCATATAACCATAACGACTTGCAATGTCAGCGATTATGACTTTCACCTTCAGATCCGGTTCAGCCTCAATCAGATGCCTGATAGCCGCAGCAACCACCCTGGATTTCAACTGTCGATGGCCTTGGGAAGTTATGGATGACACACATGTGTGTGTGTTCACCGCATGGGATATGACCCCGTGGCCGTGTCTCTTGCTATTGATGGCCCGAATCCTAACATTGCACCCCTCGTGATGATTACGGAATCTGACTATGAGCTTTTTGGTGTTGGAATGAGTTGTGTGCCATTCAAAATGCTGAGTCATTGCTTCAGTCTCAATGGCGTGCCGCACATCCTTCTTCGAGCCAAATTGTTGGCCCTTCGTAAACCCAGTGAGTGGGCCCCATATTGGGACCTCTGGCGGCTCCATGTCGCTGTCGACCATCCAATTGTCGTCTGGAATGTGATTGTAGTAGGGGACTGGTACACGGTCAGGAGCCACATCATGATCATTATCTGAATCTGACTCTGGTCCTGAATCATCAGCACCTTCAAGAGGGTCGGAGCTGTCTGCACTGACGTTCTCTCCTTCTTCATCGGAGGGGTCGCTGATTGGTGCTGGCATGACAGCTTCCATCTCATCCAGCTCATGAAAGGCACCTTCATCGGCTCCATAATGGTAGTTGTGAAAACTACCTCTGCCTGATTGGAAGTTGTACTGGGGTTGGTGGCCGAGGTCCGGTTGAACTTCTTCTTCATATGACGGGAAAGATTGATGATGGCCTTCACCTTGCTCTTGGTACTGAAAATAGGAATGAGGATCATGGTAACTTTGGTAGGGATGATCGCTATATAATTCACCTCCACCATGGATACCAGATGTTTGACCGTGTCCAGAATGACCTCCAACGCCAACGGCTGGCTCGGTGTAAACGAACATCTCGGCTTTGGCCAATTTGTTGGAGCTCAAGAATTCGAGCATGGAATCTACTTCATCTTGAGTGGTTATGGTATATTCCTCATGCCACAATGACCCACTTTATCTATCTGGATATCGGTACACCATACGATCTACTCTTCTCGTGCCATCCATGCAAGTAACGTTAGTGCATATTTGATGGAGGTCTTCAAGCTTCGGTCTAGTACCGACCATTATTTTCTGAAAATTGCCACCAACGTAGGTGGCACCCTTTCCGGCAGGGGCGGAGCCAGGATTGAAAGTTCGGGGGGCCGGATTTATTTAGTAAATTATTGTAAAAATCCAAAGATAAAAATAAATAATAACGACACATATTAATTAAAATAAAAAAACTCAAAATATAAATAATTTAAAGTTTGCTAGTATGTTATACTCAAAATAAATGTTTATAGTGTGAGCAAAAATTATCATGCATTTTAACATGTAATTGTTTTATACCTTGAATATGAATTTATGATTATATTATTGTTTTTAAAAATTAATTAATTACATATCCAAAAACAATCTTTGAAAATATGAATGTAAAAGTTTAAGAACTTGACTGAATTTATTTGAAATTACAGGATTTATAAGACAAAATAGAAAAATTAGAGGATTAAACTGGAAAAAACTGTTAAAATTATAAAAACAATGCTAACTATCAGAGTCGAACCCTGAACCTTTTAGCTACAACTGCATGGCTTCTCCGCTACATTAAACATCTGTGCTGTTAAGAATACTTCACTCGAATTCTATATACTTGTTAGTTTGAGTTTATACGTAATTCTCGGTATTTCCTAGGACTTTATACGTAAATTTCAAAATTCTCGGGGGGCCGGGGCCCCCCCGAGAGCCTACGTAGCTCCGCCCCTGTTTTCCGGTCTCTTCCGTGTAACCATTGCACCGTAAGCCAAGCGTGAACTGGCGGAATGCCATCTGCACACAAAAAAACCGTAGTTCAGTTAATATCATACAAAACCACAAATCACAAATAACAATAAAAAGTAACACAAAATAAACTTACGAGTTAATGTTAATGGCAAAAAACACTAAAGAAATATAGAGATACAACAGAAAAATGAGAAGAGAGATGGAGAGGTGTGAAGAGCAGAGGTTTTCCGGGCAGTATTATATAGGCAAAAAAATTAGGAAAACCGCACCTCTAAGCTGCGGTTTTGGTCTGCCATGCAGCCCTACGTCTAAAATTCTGCATGGGTGATTGTCGGGTGTCGGAAAATAATTGACACACAGACCGCACTTTGGGGGTGCGGTCTATGTGTATAAACCGCATCTTAGAGATGCGGTTTGCTTTTGGAGGAATAAACCGCATCTCTAAGGTGCGGTTTGGCTAGGTCAGGCCAAAACCGCACCTCGGCCATGCGGTTTATGTAGGGCAGACGTGAAACCGCATGGCCAAGATGCGGTTTCGGCCCAGGAAAATGGACCGCATCCTAGAGGTGCGGTCCATAAAAAAGGGTGCTAGTTTTGTAAATATTTTTGGAAGGGTGCTAGTTTTGTATTTTTTTTTAAAAGGTGTTATTTCTGTAAAAATCTCTTTACTTTGGTAACCTCACTCTAACGGAATTCTGTTATCTACACCGTAAGTTCACTGTGGTAAGAACTTCACTTTTTTTTTTTACGGTAGTGGTAAGAACTTCACTTGTTCTCGATATATGAATCAATTAATGATTAGTTCGTGATTATAACCGGATTAACGTTCATTTACTTTTGGGACAAAGAAATAATAAGCAATTATCGTTGCCTTGGAAAGGAAATGACGAGAAGGGAAAACAAGACAGTGGAGCAACCGCGAGAAATGAGGAAGCCGCTGGCCGCTGCCGTAAAAATGAAAATTTAAAAGTAAAAACGAAAAAAGAGAAAGAAAATGAATATAAGGTCAAAGGTCGCGGTCTTGTCAGCTGTTCACACTCTCACTCGCTCTCTGTTCATTTTTTTTTTGCCTCCTTCATTTCCCCCCAGGGGTTCGTTCTTTCGCCTTTCTCTTCTCTTTCTTCTTTGTCGCTACCAAATGTGAAGGAGCTGCTGGGTAGAGCATGAACTGAAGCCCTAGGGTTTCTTTTTCTTCTCCCCCTCCCCCAAATCAATCAATCAGTCAGTCAATCAGATCTTCCGTCCAGCTCACTCTTGCATATATTTTACCCCTTCATTCGTATTCCTTCCATGGCTAAAACCAGGCCAGGCCTCGCCTCCAGCAACTCCAAGCCCAAAGGTACTGCCAGTGCTGCTGGTGCTGGCAAGAAGGAGCTCGACTCCTACACCATTCGCGGCACCACCAAAGTCGTCAAAGGTAAAAGGGCTTCTTTCTCCTCTCCTGCTCTTTCCATTGTTCTTTGTAGCTTTCGCTCGCTCTTCCTCAGTTCCTCCACACCCAATTAATGGGGGATTGAATAATGTACGTTTCCACAGTGGGCGACTGCGTGCTGATGAGACCTTCCGACACCGGGAAGCCGCCTTACGTTGCCAGAATCGAGGGCATCGATTCCGACTCCAGAAATAATGTCAAGGTCCGGGTCAGGTGGTACTACCGCCCCGAGGAGTCTCTCGGAGGCCGCCGTCAGTTCCATGGCGCCAAAGAGCTCTTTCTCTCCGACCACCACGATGTCCAGAGCGCACACACCATCGAGGGGAAATGTACTGTTCACTCGTTTAAGAACTATACCAAACTCGAGAATGTTGGTGCCGAGGACTACTTCTGCAGGTTCGAGTATAAGGCTGCTACTGGAGGCTTCACCCCGGACCGTGTTGCTGTGTGAGTTTAATTATTTTCCTCGACCCTTTTTTCTGTCCCACATTTCACTCGTTTATCACTAACTGGAGCCCTCCCTTGGTTTGTTTTGGGCATTTCCCTCCTTTAAGGTACTGCAAATGTGAGATGCCGTATAACCCGGATGACCTTATGGTCCAATGTGAGGAGTGCAAGGACTGGTAAAGTTACTTCCTTTTGGATTACTTTCAGTACTTTTTCGCCTTTTCAATTGCTTTCCGATGGTAGCATGTTCGCGAGGCCAGCATTGTCAGCCCATCTGTTTGTTGTTGTTGTTGGGTGATTGAGGCTAGCTTGCCTAGCTCAGTTTTTAAAATTATGTATAGAAAGAAGATTGTGCAAAGAAGTCGTGATTTTTAGTTGGGAATTTAGTATTGTGGGTGTCATCTTGGGGGTCGCTTCGGTCTTCATCCTCTCTTAACCCCTCATCTTTAGAACCATGATTTTATTCTCCGGTATTGTGAATACATCTCATGTTTTTACCACACTTGTGTCACCTGTGAGAAAGTTTCTTGTTTGCTCATGCCCTTTCTTGTTGCCCCACTTTGTAGGTATCATCCAGCTTGTGTGGGAATGACAATTGAGGAAGCTAAGAAATTGGATCACTTTGTTTGCTCTGAATGTTCTCCTGACGACGATGTCAAAAGACCACAGAATGGGTTTTCAACATCACCAACAGCTGATGTCAAGGTGAGGATTCTCGAACCCAGTTATGCATAATGTTAATTGAGCATCACCAGTCTCAGTTGCAGCTTTCTTCTAGTGGGTCAACCTTGATGCCCTCATTGCATGCTAGTGTGTGGCTGCAAGTTGATGCACATCTTTCAGTCCTTGATTGAGGTGTTTCCCAAGAACATCTTTTACTTCGGCGTTTCTTATGCTGCATTAAACTATTGGACCTATCCAGAGGCTGGAATTGTTCTGAATTTTACGGGCATTCTTTCAGTCTGTCCAACTTGGTACAGTTGAGGGAAATCTTGGTCTCCTTTAGTTCCTGTTTCATGGACAGAGTCTACCTATCCACGGCTCCCTCTTATATGTGAAGCTGCTGTGGTATATTCAGCTGCTTTTCTTTTCGTATCTTGATTAGTGTTTCGTGAGTGTGCTACACATCAGTATGAATATCTAGTTGCTATTGCTGAAGATCATTGATAGGAACATATTCTGCATTGCTGGTTTATGATACAAAAGCATATAGTTAACATATCCACAGCAAGCCTCTCACAAATGTTTTCCCTTATCGTGGACCTTGTTTTCCTCCATGCATCTTGCTACTTTGCTCGTTAATTGTACTGTTTCAAGGCTTGTTGACTATTGGCTTCATACATCCTGTTGTTCTTAAGGTGTACTGTGCAGCAAAGGGATGCTCCTTTGCTTAATTATGACTGGAATGGTGAAGAAATGATTCCCAGATTATTCATCGGCCATATTTTTCAAGGTGTTAGGGTTATTCGATTTTGAAACAAGTAATGGCTTCTCTATCTTAAACCGTTGGTTTTCCTTTGAAGCTTCCCTCAAGTGAAGTGTAGCATTTGGTTTGTTTAACTTAGGTAGATTAACCTTAGACATAACTTAGTTTCATGGATTCAAGGTCTTTAGGGGAGGTGATTTGTCCCAATTGCCTCATCACAAGGCATTTGGGCTGAAATTCGTCGTTTGGCAGTGAAAGAAAAAAACACAGCATTTCGGTATATGGCAATTTGAGATTGCCGACAATTTGAATTGCCTCATTTTCCTATTACAATTTATCTTGCCCACAATCGCTCATTTTAGAAAAAAAAAAAACCTCGCCAAAACGATCCAATAAGATAGTTAAGGGTTCTCATTTCAGTTATAATCTTTGGACTGCTTGATTTGCTGGTTTCTTCTTTGGAGATGGGGTCCCGCTCATGTCTTGTGCACAATAAATCTGAACAGTTCCTGAGGGCTTGGATGCTTTTGGCAATATGCGCTAGATTTATTGCATTAGCATGACAACAGTATGCTGTAGGCTTTTTTGCATTTCATTTATAAGAAAACAGCTAAAACTATGGTTTCTTTGTTGCTGTTATTGGGAGCATCAGAGTAATGAGGCTCTGCTGGCAGTAGCTTTGAGCTCTATGAATGGTAGAGGAAACTCTCAATGGTGTTTTTCTTTTGGATATTTGAGGATATAAGAATTGGGTTGGCAAAGAACCATGTGGTACTTGTTATCATTGATGATGGTTTAAAGCTAGGATGAACTTTCTTGCAGGTGAGACTAAGCGGCGGAAGAGATAAAAATGACCAGCATTTGCTATGGCCGATTTAGCTTGGTAGAGGATTGACGACTCTGCTGCTTTTTGCGAGACGTGGAGCAGCGCAGAGAGAACTTCAGTGTGCTGTGCTCAATCCTGCTGGCTGACTGGGTTCTTGATTGTAATATATTAACCCTATCTGTCTGTCTGTCTGTCTGTATGTGGAACTAACTAGTGCTCTGGACAGACAGTTCTCTTCTAAATTTATCCTTCTGGGCCCTTTACAACCACCGACCGTAACAGTTAATCAAATCTGTTGAGGAACAGCTCTCTTGCCCAGTATGACACTCTCCTTTTGAAAAACGTGATGCACATCTGTAAGAGGACCTGTGTCAATGTGGATTCTGAACTGAGGCTACCATGTTGCATCCATAAACTAGGAGAGTCGTGAACTCGTGATAGCATGAGCTAGGTTAGGGCAAGTAATGGCGGGTGTGGAGTTCACCACCTCGCTTGATAGCGAGTTGGACTGAAGGCGATCTCAATCGGGTAGACTACTGATGGCAGCTGGAGTGGAAAGGGGCTTGCAGCTGCAGGTGTAATGTCAGTTGGATGAATAAGATCATAGATGCATGCATATGGCTTGGTAAAGGTGAAGGCTTGAGCAGGTGTCTTCAGCACTGAAGAACATAAATGCTGGAAATGCAAAATTCGTGACTAAAAGTGAAACTGAAAGACTCCCCCCTAAAGCCCATCAGAAGCATTCAGCGAGGCCCAGTAGCCTAGGCCCACATCATTGGGCTACCGAGTCCATCCACACCGGCGGTCCACGCCTGAGAAACGGAGGAGATTAAGCTCGTATGAAATGTTTTGCGCAGGGTTTAAGACTTCTGCCCCAATCGTCTCCGTCTCGCTGCCTCTCTTCTGCCGCCGCGCCGGCGACGTTACCTGCATCAGTTTCAGATTGACCGTCGGGGCCTTCTGCTAAATTTCAAACCTTGCGGAAATCTGGTAACAACTTTTCCGGCTTTCGCTCGCTGGAGGATTTTACAATCCTAGGGTTTTGTATGCCACCCTCCGAGATCAATCTTGCGCAGTAACTCGGTTCTGTTGCTTGGGCCGGATGGCATCGTCACTCTCGAAAGGAATATTGCGTTCTTTTGGTTCCTTGTCTGCTCTTCGCCGTTGCCAGGGTAAACTTCCTTTGCCGTAGCCGTGCTCGTTAAAATCAACCAATCATTGCTAGCCGGAATAAGTTTGGCGGTTACTCGTCGCTCTGTTTTACTAGTCTTGATTTTTTCCCCACTTCCCATCCGCTGCTGCAGATATCTGTATCCGAGCTTCGGGGGACTGTTTGTTTTCTCGGGGATCCTCTTGTCATTTGGTAAATCTCTCTTCTTTTTGCCATGTTCCTTTTATTCCGATCGGCAATGGAGTGAATTATATCTCCTGCTCGCTTTTACTACAATGTAGGGATCGGCCGCTTCTCTTTCGCATCAGAGATGGTTACATCTGTATTATTCCTGAATCAGAAGATGGTCCATTTCCCGCCGATTTGTTATCCTCAAGGGCTGTGCTAACCCCAGATCGTAAATAGGCAGGGACGCTGTTCTCTGACCTTTGATGCTTGAATTTAGCGGGATCCATTTCAATCTTATAGCTGTTTGGTTCCTATCTCTGCTGCAGAGATAGCTGCTATTTGGTGTTTGTGGGTTTTCGGGTAGCTTGTAACTGGGTTAATGAATAATTCTTCTTATCTTAGGGCTTTATCAGGACCTGGTAATTCCAGTGACAAATTTCAACAATGAGGACAAAGATTTATGGTTCTAGCTGGCGATGTGTTTGATGTACCTATTAGAAAAGACATCGTTCATCGAGTCGTGAGGTGGCAACTTGCCAAATGACAGCAAGTAATTCTCTCAGTCCTTCTGCATCGGGTCTATGAGTTTTACTGTTATTGGAAACTTCAGGGTTTTTTTATGTTTAGGAAAAAAATATTTGATTCTCAGGGAACACATTCGACAAAAACAATCAGTGAGGTTAGTGGGACTGGGAGAAAGCCATGGAATCAGAAGGGATCTGGAAGAGCTAGGCATGGAACGCTGCGTGGACCTCAAGTAATGTTTCCTTTTGTATTTATATTGGTTACCATCTGAGTTTTGAGTGCTTTTGGCATACTTTGCTTATGGCTACCCCTAAATGAATTGACCTACACAATGCAGTTCAGAGGTGGCTTGTGTTATGCATGGCCCCAAGCCACGAAGCCACGCCTTAAACTAAATAAGCAGGTCAGGGCGTTTAGGGTTGAAGATTGCGTTGACAGCCACGCGCAGCAGAAGGAAAAGGTATGGGTTCTTCTTTATCTCTACTATGCTTCTTTTGTGGGGAGTAGTTTGGTGTCAAAAGTAAGTATGCAGTCGTTTTTCCTTTCTTACTTGTGGATTCTGTTGATATGAGACGGGCACAAGTGTGTTTGTATTGGTGACCAATCTTGCTACCTCTGTTTTGAGTCTGTTATTAAGTATCTTAAAGGATGTTTAAAATGTTCAGCTTCTTGTGTTTGAGGATTTGGAGGTTCCTACACACAAAACCAAGAATATCGTCACTATGTCCAGCAGATGGAGAATGCCAAGAAACTGCTGCTGGTTGATGGTTGTTCCATCAATGAAAAAACTGAAGCTGGCTACACAAAATATACATTATGTCAATGTGCTACCTTCAATTGTAAGTTATAAGATTGAATCACAATCGAAGGAATGGCGAGGCTCCCAGTGTGTCCTGCTGTTTGTTTAGCTTTGTGGAGTTAGTTTTGAGTTATATTAGATTGCTTCACATGTGCGCAAGTAGCTCTGTGGTTGCAGCCTATATTAGGTTAATGGTATTTTTATTAAAATGCTTTGCTTGCAGGGATTGAATGTCTACAGCATACTGCAACATGACACATGAGTGATGTCCCAGTGCTGCGGTGAACGGAATTGTAGATCGAATGCACACGCCAATCAAACCGCTAACTTCTGCAATGCTGTTTGTGGAAGGAAACCTGTTCTTTTTCCTATAGGCGAGGGAAAATCATAGGCCAAAGCAAATAAGATGTCCATCTGTCAGTGTTTTTTGGGTGCTCCAGCTTGGAACCGTGATAAGGCTAGAATGTGGTATTGATGTAAGCAAAGGTGCTTTCAGTCGTACTAGATTAATGCGGTTGAAACTTGAAGAAACCAATGGTGCTGTCCTAAACCTGTGGCTTTGTATGCTCATCTTCATTGTTGATCGCTTTGCAAGAATATTAGGATTTAATGAGCATTTTCCAGTAATACCATGGCAGAAACGTTTTCTGGCTAAAAAATCCAATATCCCAAAGCTCCGAGTAACATGCCTTGTTGATTGAGTTGTATGCTTGGATAGCAAGTTTCTGGCACACATAAAATGCCTTCGGGAGCTTACAAGTTTACGCCTATTCCCTGTGTTACCCCAGCCTAACGTGGATTGTGTCGAGGTCAGGGCTGCTACAGGAGCTAGTCCTGCATTCAACCATTGGCTCACCCAGGTGACCTCAGCCTCCCGCCAGTAACCATCTCGGCATTACGAGTTAGGACAGCTGGTACAGCTACAGCGGAGTTTTATGAGCGTAGGCAGCAAACCTGAGACGTATCTCTGCTCCGTCTTGTCCCCAAATCGAACTTGTTCCCATCTCTCCGCTTGGTTCAGAATCGGTTCCATGGAAACTCTAGCCATCACAACAAGTTCAGTGCCATCGCAGGCGATGAATGCATTTCAGTTTCGGTGAAATTGTTTTGAAGCTCAGGGATCATTTTGTTCTGTTCAGCAAAGTTCAGTAACCATTCGGGCTTTTAGCGCAAGAACTACTCCTGAGAAACGACGCCGTGTGAAGACACAACGCAGCGTTTCAACCGAAAAGCCACTGTACGCAAATGTCGAATCTAGATGGAACCTACCAATCCATGGCACACGAACACAGCCGTCGCAACACATCAGCCACAAGGCACACAAAATGGAAGCAGCAACCTCAGCTGCCGTGGATGGCGCCGCCGCCGGAGCATTCCGATCCGTCGTGCGGCGGATTCACCAGGCCGCTGAAAGTGCAGGTCGTGGGCCACACCAGATTCGACTGGTGGCCGTGAGCAAGACGAAGCCAGTCTCTCTCGTTCGACAAGTGTACGATGCTGGCCATCGATGTTTCGGCGAGAACTATGTTCAGGAGCTCATAGATAAAGCACCTCAGTGTCTCTTCGTTGTCCTAGAATTCTTCTTGCACTCCTTGTGTTTCGATTTCTCGGATTCTTGAGTTGATGCGCAAGCTTTAATAGATTAAAGATGGTGGGTTATTGAAGGGATACACAGTGCAAGTTCTGAAATGCGAATTGCTTGTGCAAATTGCAGCTTCCGGAAGACATTGAGTGCACTTTATTGGAAACTTACAGAGCAACAAAGTAAAACCTCTACTGGGTAAGATCTCATTGATAGAAAGATTGGCGATTGTTATGTTTCGATTGAAAAAATCCTTCTCAATTTTGGTTGCTTAGCTTATACTTCAACTGGTGTTGTATTTCTGGATGTATTGCAGCTGGTGTACCAAATCTTGCTATGGTCGAGAGCGTAGATGATGAAAAGGTAATGGCTACTCGCACTGTTTTCTACTTCTTTCAATTATGTGTCCTCTGCTGAATCAACCTAAATATGGTTCCTTTCTAATGGTCTTCATGCATTTGCCGAGCTCATATTCACTACAGATTGCCAATCGGCTTGATCGAATGGTTGAAAAGCTTGGGAAGGAAACCTTTGAAGGTGTTTGTCCAAGTGAATACCAGTGGTGAAGAATGTATGAGTGGATTGCATCTCTTCTGTTCTGTGAACCAAAATAGATGATGAAATCATGTCATAATTTCTTCATGGTTGTTGTCCCACAAGGTCACTTATCATGTTGTTTGATGACAGAAATCGGCAAAGACTAGCCCTTGAATTCCAATTTTAGTTGACGCGTATGATATCTCCATGCTATAGTGTTTTGTACATTTAAGGAGTCACTAGGCATAGAGATCTGAGGTGCCTTAAGTGCACTGAGTATGGTATCAAAGAAGAATCTGAAATGTCCTTTTAGGGGCTAAGAAACTAGTTTCTATTGGAAACAGAAACTTTCTGCTCCCATGTGCGATATATGGTTTAAGAATTGAAGTTTGTATGAGGGAGTGACATAACCCTTTCCTATACCCAAAAGGTCTCCTGTTAGGTCCCCTTATGGATTCATGTAGGGAATTGCAGTTTCTGATACAAGTAGTGAAACAATCCTTCAATTGTAAAGTCTTCTTTTCTCTACTGACGATTGTTGGCTGTTTTATGGGTCCGGATTCATGTCCTGAATTTCAGCAAAAATGGGGGTTGAGCCATCAGAGTGCATGGAGCTTGCAAAGCACGTGAGCGAGCGATGCTTGAATCTTGAGTTTTGTGGGCTGATGACAATCGGAATGCTTGACTATTCATCCACTCCCGAGAACTTCAAGGTGAGAGGATCTCAACTGACTGAAGCATTCCCCCCTCCCCCCTCCCTCCAATTTCCTTCGGGTTTCTGATTTGTGCACTGTGATGTGGATGGGGTCAGACATTGGCAAACTGCAGAAGTGAAGTTTGCAAGGCGCTTGGTATAGAAGAAGAGCAGTGTGAGCTGTCCATGGGGATGTCCAATGACTTTGAGCAAGCGGTAAGGCAGCTATATTGCTTGATTTAAATGTCGTGGTGCTAGATGCTCAATGAACTGGGGTTGTATGTCTAAGGAGAAGACAAGAAATGCTCATGGTTTTTCTACGGGTGAATTGTTGCAGATTGAGATGGGGAGTACAAATGTGAGAGTCGGGTCAGTCATATTCGGAGCGAGGGAATATGCAAAGAAGTAGAAACAAGAGAAAGCACACACATTTCTGTGAAGCATCCACTCCCATCAACTGGGTTTCACTCTTTTGATGATGAGATGATGATGTATTCTTATGTCTTCTCAGTTGTAACTGCTTGTCCCTTCCTTTCCCTCTCTCTTTTTACCCCCTTTTGTCTTATGTTTTCTATTCTTAATTAATATGGGGGACTCGACTGATTCTGGGTATTTTCTGGTCATATTAATAAAGGGTACTGTTGTGTGCTTCCGTAGCAGTGAAGTATGTCAGCATGTGGATTGAACTGGAAATGATAGTCTAATGTAACCTGGCTGAATCCGGGAAGAGAAAGGAAATAAGACGCTTCTTTCCTTATATTTTCTTTTTGGAATTCTAGATGAATACATTAAAGAGAATTATTTCCAAAGACACCATACCTACTGTACACATAGACTGGGATTACTGTTTAATGTGACCGAAATTTGCTGTGCAGTCTCCCCTGATTGGTTGTTTACCTGTGCGTGGGCCCCGTGGCTTTACTCATTGTGTTGTGTTTGGGCCAGTAATGTTTTTCTCGGTTTTTTTAGCTTAGACCGGATCTTCTGCGTGGTGCTTTGCAAAGCTGAGCACGTTGCCCGCGGAGCAGGTTAGATATCCTCTTCTCTCTCTCGCTGTCTTTTCTCCCAGACCTTCTTCTGTCTCGAGACTTCTTTCTTTTCTCCCAGGGCTTCTTCTGATGGGTGGAGTTCTCGAGATGTCAGGGAGCAAGAGGGAGCCTTTTCCGATCAATCAGTCGAGAGGAGAGAGGGTCAAAACCCAGTGCTGGCAGAAACATGAGAAGCCGCTCTTCTTTTTCACCTTTCTCTCTAACTCACCCTGTTTTCTCTGGTCTCTTCCCGAATTCTCCTTCTCTGACCTCTTTTCACTATCTTCTCCTTCTCCTTCTCCCACTCCCCTCTCTACTCTGCTGCTTCGACCAGAAACCTCAGTTCCTCTCTCTTTCACTCGCAGTCCTTCTCCCACTCCCTTCTCTCTACTCTGTGGCTTCGACCAAAATCTCAGAACCAAAGGGGATTCCAGGTCTACAGTCGCCGGTCTTTCTCATGATCCCCATCTTTCTCATCGCTGTCTCTCTCTATTCTAGATTTCGTTGTTCCGGCCCGGAGAGCAACCGTCGGTGGCGTTCACTCGGTGTTCTCACCACATATTTCCGCCTGTTTTTACTGAGATTGGTTGGCGGACATGGGAGTTCCACTCATGATCCTGAACAGAACCAGATATGCTGATTCGGGTGAGCTTCTTTAACTTTTTGCATTTTATTTCTTCTTTCAGTCCCTTTTGCTATGGATGAGCAGGTCATTCAATTTTTCCTCAGCGGTTTTGCTGCAAATCTTTGTATTTTTGTTTCAGCCGATTGTTCATTTTGTTTGTTGCTCACAGGGTTTGTTTTATCACTTTAGATTCAGGTGATCGTTCCTTTGGCTCCCCGGTGGGTTTGCTCGATCTCTTACAGGAGTCGACGGATGGTACAGTTTTTGCTGGGTTTGTTTTATCACTTTATTTTTGTTATTATTACTTTTCCGCTTAGATTATGCACGATGACTCTTGGAGGTGGGTGGTTGTCGCTTTTCTTTTGTCAGTCCATTGATGGGCAGTGAAAAATGTAGCTTGGCGGTGCTGGGGATCACAAAGAAGGTCAGGGAAGCCTCGAAACAGAGAGCCTCAGGTGAGCTTTCTTGCGTTCTCTCCTTTGTTTTCTGTGGAGCAGCTCAGCTTTTAACTATGAATTTGTTCCCGCAGATTCGATGCATCCTTCATCTACAAAATTCTTTTCAGTAAGTTGCTCTCAATCTGTTAGCACCATTTCATTTGAAGGTTCTACCTCTGTTTCAATTTGATCTAATTAGTTTTTTTGTTGTCAAAGATTCATTCGGTGGAGGAACTTCTGGGCTGGGACTCGCTTGCAGGTGGTACTCGCTTTTTGTTGTCAAAGGAACCTCTGTTTCACTTTGATCTAATGGTTGGGATCCCTAATTTGCATACAGGTGGGACTCGCTTTCTCACTTTATTTTCTCTTCTCAGATCTGTCAGGCCAGCGACGAGTAGACGGAAGTTCAATCAAGTCAGATTCTGCTGGTGATGGTGGTTGCTGTGGCAAGTCCAATTGCAGTTGTTGGGCACGGAGAGATAGATGATGAAAAAGAGGGGAAATAAACCAGACACCCAACATACCGAGTCCACTTAACGGTTACCTGCTAATCGAATTTCTTCGGGGGTGAGTCTCTTGCGATCAAAATAGATGGAGAACTCCATGGAATGGATGTTCTGTTCCTTCTCAGGCAGGCCTTCTTCCCGGTGTGCCCAGGTCCTGCGCAGCGTGGCCCAGTGGCGACATTTGGACCTGGTCGGCAACAACGGCAGATCCATCCACTGGGAGCTGGAAGTCTTCGACGTCGTCATTTCCGGGAAGAAGCTGCAAGACCTCTCCACTGACCTCATCAACCGCCAGTACTGTTGCTCTTGCGCGCTTGCTGTATGAGATGGGAGAGTGCATGCATTTTAATGATTCTTCCCTCGGATTTAAGTATCGGTTTTCCTTCTCCTCAAATTTTGTTTGTTAAACCCAAAGTCTTATTTTGGAGTTGGTATACTCATTAGAAGAGTCAATTTTCTAAAACTTTTTGTGAATTTGATCCATAGAAAAGCTAGAGCCTAAGCAGAGATGAAAATGCATATGAAGTAACAGAGAATCTCAGGAAAACTGCAGACTAGCTAATGAGAATTAACAAACCTCTCAAGCTTTGTCAATTGATACCTTCTCAAGTTATTATCTGCTTCACCTTTCTTTCTGACTGAAGTCGTTCAAGTGATATGTTGTATGTTATGTAGCTGTTCTGATTGTTTATTTGGCGATCGTGTATGTAGTGAATGAGTTCATTGAAGCTGGTTGTGGTATGACCATAAACTAAATTCATATGATACTTTACCTGGAAAGAAGGAATTAGAATTTCCTGCTGGAGTTGGAGAGCAATCTCAGTCAAGCATGCAATGTTGAAGGAAGAGCCTTACAAGAGGTTATTTAATTTGGGAGCGGTCACTATAATGGCCTTTTGTTATTACAATGATTCAGTTTGTTTTTTTTATTTGTGTCCAATTGATCCTTCTATAGTATTAGTGATAAGCTTTACCTGGTTTTTCAAGTTTCTCATGTATAATTGCTCAATTATTGAAAACTTAGGGCCTTGCTTTCCTGTGCAATTGCAATTTGTCAATGCGTTGCTTTATATCTTCTATAGTTTTATGAATTAATAACTAATTAGAATCTGAGAAAATGAACTAAAGAATGTCATATATAATTATATGGAGGAGCTATACCAGAATTGGAAGTCAAAATGAAGTCCTAAAAGTTTAGGAAATTAAACATAGTCCGGGAAAAGTAGTAGAGGTTATGTAATTAATGTAAAACCGTGATTAATGATTGCCATGATCCTTTCTTTACTTAATGTGATAATGGTTAGTAATGGCTCCTTGGATGTTATATGGAGATTTGCTAACAAGTCTGCAGAGTAAGATAAGAATGGAGTCGCACCTCTTTTGTTCCTCGAGAAAGTATGTTGGATATGAGTAGTGTAGTATTCTAAGTATAAATGAGATAAAATCCGAGGATTACATGTAGATAATTGTAAACAAACCACAAAAGTCTAGCTCCATGACTTGTCAGTTTTTTATATCCCTGTCTTCTTTGTGTTCTCAGGTCGTGCTGCTGATACAAGATGGATGCAAATCTTGAATAATCCGTAAACAAACCACTTTGAACAAAGGTCAGGTTGTGAAATGAATTCATGAATACGCAATGGTACTGGTCCGCTGGATGCAGTATACGCAGCCCAACAAAGAAACAAAAAGACAGACATTTTTACCCGTACAAGCCGCGATAAAGAGCGGTAGCTCAAATGTAAAACAGGTGAAGTGTAGGCCCAAACAACAAAGCCCAACGTCCATTCGTTTTATGTCACCGTCACGAACAGTTTCGCCTTTCGAAACCCTAAATTGTCGCAAGGCTTCCGAAGAAACCAACCTCTGCGCCCTCGATCGCAAACCGCCGCGAAAGCCCCATCTTTGGACCGCAGGAAATCCCTGCCACAAAGGTGGGTCCTTGACTCCTTCTACGTCACCATACTTACAGTTCCTAAAATTACTACTCATCGGTTTCTTCGTTGGGAAATCAGGGACCACACTTGAAATGGCCACGTCGCGCCAAGATCGGGAACATGCACGATGCGATGCCATGGTCCCCACCGATCTTCAGGGTGAGTACAGTCAGTTTTTGGTCGGTGGTCCTGCGAACATTATCGATTCCAGTACGACCGCCCACAAAAAAGCCTGGCCGCTTTCGTAAATCACAAAATCTTGAACTGTGTTACAGATCCTGTTGCATCTTCCGACACCTTTCAGGGTTTAAGTTTGGGTATCAACGATCGTACTGTGGTCGCACGCCTTGTCAAGATATGGTTTCAATTCAGAAGAGGAAACATGAGGAGGAAGAGAACCATGCACATGCTTTGGCTGGACAAAAAGGTTGCTGATTAAACACCAGACATCTTTGCAAGATCTCACCATTCTGCATTTTTCATTATAACAAATTTGTGCATGGTGCTTTCAGCACTTAGATTACAAAAAATCTGAACAATTTCTCACATGCCAAAGGAGTCTTTCAGTGATCGGCTGCTTTCTTACAGGATCAATTGCTCGAAGGAATGGTTGAGGAGGAGGACATCAGGGAAATTTGCACAAAAATCAAAGTCAACAAGCTCCATCGACTGGATACAGTTGTTGCTGTCCCTGCAAGAGTAACGGGTCGGATTGTTCACAGAGAATTGCGCTTATTGCTGACATCCAAACAGCAAATTTCCTACATTCACGAGGACCCCGAGAATCCCCAGTTTCCCGTTCGCTCATACATCAACTTTGACTTTTCAGTGGCGCCAAGGCAAACAGATAGCTACGACTGCCATTCAGGTGCGATTTCATTTATTTATCTCATTACAATATCCTAATAAATGTTTTTGTGCCTTAACTCAATTTTATGATTTAGACATCACGGGATGCGTTAGGCGCCTCACACTCCCAAAAACAATTGATGGAACCCTGAAAGAGTTCCTTTTGGTCATCGAGGATGCGTGGTATGTTTTCAAGAATTAATAGCCATTATTTACTTTATGAAAATTGACAGAATAACATATTAGTTATTACAAACAGTGGAGCAAAGGCCGCAGTTCATTACCGTGGCTATGACATAGATGACTATTTAAAGGATGCACCAGCTGCTGAAGCTCGCTTGCCTCTTATCGCAACTGTTAAGTTAGCGATGCGAGTGCCTCCTTCGAATGGCCATAAATATGCAATCGAATTTGAATCCACGCCTGCCAGTAGACTGGTTATACGAACATACGCAGATGCCTTCAAGGAAACCATGC